AATACATGTTTTGAAAGGGACATTTAAGAACTGCTAGATGTGTTTTAAAATTGCTAGATGTGTTAGTTGACAGTCAATAAGGTGCATTTCTCTTTTTTTTTTTTTCCTCTTGAGACAGAGTCGCTCTGTTACCAGGCCCCAGGCTGGAGTGCAATGGTGTGATCTCAGCTCACTGCAACCTCCGCCTCCCAGGTTGAAGCAATTCTCCTGCTTCAGCCTCCTGAGTAGCTTGAACAATAGGCGCAAGCCACCATGCCCAGCTAATTTCTTTTATTTTTTAGTAGAGGTGGGGTTTCACCATGTTGGCCTGTATGGTCTTGATCTCTTGACCTCGTGATCCGCCCACCTTGGCTTCCCAAAGAGCTGGGATTACAGGCTTGAGCCACTGTGCCAGGCCAATAAGTTGCATTTCAAACAATCTTCCTGTTTTTCCTTTCGGCCCAGTTATAGGTGAAATCATTGTTTTTATGTTAAAGTAATAAGTTTTGATGTCCCGTGTTATATTTTAGAAAACCATGATTTGGGAAAGAAAATTCCAGAAGATAAGGATGGCTGATGAGTGAATTGAATTTAAATAGATCATTTTATTTTATTTTATCTATTTTTTAGAGACAGGGCCTTTCTCTCTCTGTTGCCCAGGTTGGAGTACATGGTGTGATCAAAGCGCACTGTAAAAATAGGTCATTTTCTATTCAGTAAAGATTGCTCTAATTAGTTGAAATGACTTTGAAATGTGTCTCTTTTCTTGAAATAAGTGGCAGGTTGCTCATGTGAGTGTGATCTCTTTTAACAAAGAATGATATCAATAACCTCAGAGTAAAGTTCTGGCTCATTCCCAATTTTAGATTGATCATTTTTCTTTGATTGATTCCTTTGTATTGTTTGAAATATTCAGCACAGAATTTGCACTTGGTTTATATTTTTATTTTTAGCTCCAGTTTTGGCCTTTTTCAACCGTAACGAGTCAGAACTCTTTTGCAGTTTGAGCCTTTTTAAGACAAGCTGTTTTTATCTTTCAATAGGTATGAATCCTAGGACCCAGAATAAGGATTCTCTAGAGAACAGTGTTTCTACCTCTCCAGACCCAAGTAAGAGGGGGCAGTTGACTGGGAAAAGGGGTGGACAGGGAGTGTGGGGTGGTCAGAGCATGAGGAAACAAGAGGAAGCCCTGTGGGAACTGAATGGTCCTGAGGTCCACATATCTCTGGGGTATGGGAAGGTCATGTGGTGAGGGAGGACTCTCTGTACTCTCTGATGGAAAGTGAGAGGGGTGTGACTGAATGACCTGTTTTGGAAGGTGATTCAGGGGTACCTGGGAAAGGCAGCAGATTCCCTGTAGGGCCCCTGTGCTGGTCCAGAGCTGGTCTTCACCTTTAAATGCCTAATGATATCTCCAGGAAAAAGTTAAAAAGACACAATGGGCTGTTACTGGAATCACTTGCCAGTCTATAGTTGAAAATGTCTGGCTGGTTTGCATTCTTTTTGATCATCTTTTTTTTTTTTTCTTGAGACAGAGTTTCGCTCTTGTTGCCTAGGCTGGAGTGAAATGGTGTGATCTCAGCTCATTGCAACCTCCGCCTCCTGGGTTCAAGCGATTCTCCTGCCTCAGCCTCTCGAGTAGCTGGAATTAAAGGCGTGCCACCACGCCTGTCTAGTTTTGTATTTTTAGTAGAGAAGGGGTTTTTCCATGTTGGTCAGGCTGGTCTCGAACTCCCAACCTCAGGTGATCTGCCCACTGGCCTCCTAAAGTGCTAGGATTACAGGAGTGAGCCACCGTGCCCGGCCTCATCATCATTTTCAATATCTATGCAGTAAAAGAGCATCTAAATATCTATAATAATAAAATAGCAGAGAAAATCCTGACTTGATAAACTTTACTTAGCTGTGACCAGTGGATATATTTCACTGAGTCTTTTTGTCCCCACTTAGTAATCCTTTTACCATTTCTTCCCTCCTCACAGTCATTTGTAATGGTAACATCAAGCACATTATTGTATATTGGTTTGAGTAATCATTTCTTATTCATGACCATTTGGATGGTTTCCTGCTTTTTAGCCATAGCATAGAATGAAGTTATGATAATACCTTGTGGGCTGAGCTGAGCATGGTGGCTCATGCTAGTAATCACAGCACTTTGGGAGGCTGAGGTGGGCAGATCACTTGAGCCCAGGAGTTTGAGACCAGCCTGGACAACATATTAAATTAAAAGTTAATAAAAAATTAACTTTTAATAATATATTAATAATTTAACTCTGTTAAATTAAAAGTTAATAATAATAAGTAATACATGGTGCAGCAGGTGTATTTTTTCTTTTGGTTAATGTCTTTGGATTATATTCCCCCAAGTATGGTTGGCAGATTGACTATTTTCCCCGAAAGGGGCCAGCAATGAATAGATGATCCCATTTCTCTACAATCCTATCACTGGAGTTTGTTACACGTGTTCATTATTGTTATTTTAGTGGTTCTGAAGTAGAACTTCCTCAGAGTCCTTCTTTTCAGTACCAGAAGATACTGGGGTTAGAAAATAGGCTGTGTTCTTTTTCTAGAGACAGAACACCCTTAAACTTACAATCAGGATCCTTTTTCATTATGGGATCTTGTACTAAGCATTTGAACTGTCTGTGTCTTGTTGTGTGCCCCGCAGAAAGCATTTCTACAAGATTTTTGTAATCCTGAGGGTCAGCAGGCTGATGAGGGCTGGGATGATCTAAGAGGACATAAAGATAGAAATTTCTTCTCTTAGCCGGGCGTGGTGGCTCAAGCCTGAAATCCCAGCACTTTGGGAGGCCGAGGTAGTTGGATCACAAGGTCAAGAGATCGAGACCATCCTGGTCAACATGGTGAAACCCCGTCTCTACCAAAAATACAAAAAAAAAATTATCTGGGCATAATGGCGCGTGCCTGTAATCCCAGCTACTCAGGAGGCTAGGCAGGAGAATTGCCTGAACCCAGGAGGCAGAGGTTGCGATGAGCCGAGATCGCGCCATTGCACTCCAGCCTGGGTAACAAGAGCAAAACTCTATCTCAAAAAAAAAAAAAAAAAAAATTTCTTCTCTTTCTGGCTTTCCCCACTGGGGCTTTGATCAAGTCTCCATCTTCTGTTCTAGCCAGGAAGTAGAAACAAGGTCACCTCCTCGGGTGCCATATAGAAAAATAGAGATGATTAATTAGGCTATTCTGGGCTATGTTTTGGATTCCTGAATTATTAATGAGTTAATAAGGTCTAACTCCGTGTAGAGCAGGAGTTAGACCTGTTGCAGGCTAAATCATCTTCCCCAAGTCAATGGTGCCATATGGGGCATCTTTCTACTGTGACTTAGCACACAATTTTTGTTCTTCATTGATGGGAGGGCTGATGGGGCAGCAGGGGCTATACCACATTGTAAGCTATATAGCATGGTACAAAAATAAGGCATATGAGTATCCCATTCAGAACTTAGAGACAAAGGCTTAGAGTTTTTTGGAGAGTTAAAAGATAATCTTCACTTAAATTACTTAATAGAGGTAACTACCCTATTACTTTTTTTTTTTTTTTTTTTTTTGAGACAAAGTCTTACTCTGTCTTCAGGCTGGAGAGCAGTGGCGCAATCTCAGCTCACTGCAACCTCTGCCTCCCGGGTTCAAGCAATTCTCCTGCCTCAGCCTCCTGAGTAGCTGGGACTAAAGGTGTGTGCCACCATGCCCAGCTAATTTTTGTATGTTTAGTAGAGACAGGGTTTTACCACATTGGCCAGGATGGTTTTCATCTCTTGACCTCATGATCTGCCCACTTCAGCCTCCTAAAGTCCTGGGATTACAGGCGTGAGCCACCGCACCTGGCCACTGCCCTATTACTTTTAACTCAGTGAAGTTCAACCAAGGAGATTTTTCCTCCCCAGGAGAACATGTCAATGCCTACAGACATTTCTGGTTTTCACAACTAGAGGATACCACTGGCATCTAGTGAGTAGAATCCAAGGATGGTGCTACAATACCCAGGACGGCCCCCACAACAAAAAAATTATCTGGTTCAAAATCTCTGTTGTTGCTGAGGCTGAGAAACCCTACTTTAGCTGAGGACCAGGCAATTCTGGACAGACCCATGGGGTCAGGCCTACTCTGCTAACCGCAGCTTTCATTTTTGGATTGTTAAATGCTGTCTCTTAAAGTTCCAGCCTCCTAACTTTCCCAGACATCCTTACTTGATTTTTCCTCCCACCCTTTTGGATCTGTTACTTATTTTTGCGGTGCTAGAAGTATTCCTTATTTCTGCTGCTGTATGCTGTTTGCTCCCAAACCAAGCTGAGCTCCCCTCTTTTCCCCACCCAGCCACACTGCAGTCCTTGGGAGAGATTCATGCTTGGGCCTCCCTGCTCTTGGAACATTGATGTGCTTCGACATGTAATTCTGCCTGCCCTGCAGTAATCTCACCTGCATTACAGCTGTAGCTCACGATCAGCAGAAAATGAAAAGTATCAGCTGTGAATCCCATTTGCATGATGGGATTGGATAAGCATGTGCACTGCATTGTCTAACAAACTCTGTTTCTCTCTCTTTCTCCCTTCCCTATCTTTCCAATCTTCCCTCCCCTATCTTCTTCCCATCCCCTTTCTTCCCAATCCTGGCAATTTTCTCACCTTTCACCATGAAATTTTTTCCCCACCCTTCTCTCCCTTTCCTTCCCCTGACCCTCCCCATCCCACACTTGCCATGGTGACCACATGTACCTTTTCCCCCTGTTACATGAGGCAGTTCTGACACTGTCTGCTCCCCCTGTAGTGCCAGGCTTCTGTTGCACAGTTGGAGTGGACTGGAAGTCTCTCACTACTCCGGCGTGCCTCCCCCTCACCACCGACTACTTCCCTGACCGCCAGGGCCTGCAGAATGACTACACAGAGGGCTGTTATGATCTCCTCCCAGAAGCAGACATCGACAGGTTAGTGTCAGAGAAAAAGGCACTTGGCTTGGTTTGTGAGGGTTGTGTACATATCCCACACATGCATCAGAACACTGAATTTGTGCTTGCTTCAGCAACACATATACTAACATTGGAATGATACAGAGAAGATTAGCATGGCCATTAAATAAAAATAAAAATAAAAACATTGATTTTCTTTTATCTTTCTTTTTTTTTTTTCTTTTTATTAAACTGAGACAGGTTCTCACTCTGTCGCTCAGGCTGGAATACAGTGGCACAATCACAACTCACTGAAGCCTTGATCTCCTCAATTCAAACCATCCTTCCACCTCAGCCTCCTAAGTAGCTAGGAGTAGCTGGGAGTGGCAGCGTCATATTCAGCTAATTTTTGTATATTTTGCAAAGACACTGTTTTGCCATATTGCCCAGATTGGTCTCAAACTCCTGGACTCAAGCCATCTTCCCATCTCTTGTGTCCCAAAGTGCTAAGATTATAGGCTTGAACCACTTCCTGGCTGAACACTGAATTTTCAAGCCTGTGTCCTCCTTTTATATTTGGGTATTTTTTTTTTTTTTGATACAGAGTCTCACTCTGCCACCCAGGCTGGAGTGCAGTGGCGCAATCTCGCCTCTCTGCAACCTCTGCCTCTCCGGTTCAAGTGATTCTCATGCCTCAGCCTCCCTAGTAGCTGGGGCTATAGGCATGTGCCACCACGCCCAGCTAATTTTTTTGTATTTTTAATAGGGACAGAGTTTCACCATGTTGGCCAGGCTGGTCTCAAACTCATGATCTCAGGTGATCAGCCTGCCTTGCCCTCCCAAAGTGCTGGAGTTACAGGCATGAGCCACTGTGCCTGGCTGTGGGTAATTTTATGATGTAAGAACTGTTCATTTCTCCAGAGTTCCATTGACATCAACTATTTCTCCTCGTTGAATGATTCATTTTAAACTCCTGTTCGTTCTGGTCTCGCTGATTATCCTCATATTTTCTAATGCAATTATTTTGGGCACACTAAATTTGATTTTCTTTTCTAAGATTACTCATTTGGGCATTTAATTACCTGCCTTTTTTCACCTATTTGAACTGTTCATTTTCCCCAAAACACTGATTAACAAATTGTTAGTGGGGTTTTTTTCATATATTTTATTATATTTCCTTTTCTGTCTTTCTTTTACATATTGTCGCCCAGATTGAAGTGCAGTGGTGCCATCTTGGCTCACAGCAACCTTTGCCTCCCAGGCTTAAATAATCCTCTGACCTCAGACTCCTGAGTAGCTGGGACTACAAGTGCATGCTACCATACTTGGCTAATTTTTGTATTTTTTTGGTAGAGTCAGGGTTTTGCCATGTTGCCCAGGCTGGTCTTGAATTTCTGGACTCAAGCAATCTGCCCATCTCAGCCTTTCAGAGTGCTAGGATTATAGACATGAGCCACTGCGCCCAGCTCAAACTGTTAGTTTTATGAACCACCATAGAATGGTTATAATGGAATAAAGCAAAGGAGGTGATGGGACTGTGCACTTGTAAGTGTTACTGTCCCTGGCCAAGTATCTGTATGAGCAATCATCTGTTTTTTTAGGAGGGATGAAGAGGGTGTGCAGATGACAGCCCAGCAGGTGTTTGAAGAGTTTATTTGCCAACGTCTCATGCAGGGCTACCAAATCATAGTGCAGCCCAAGGCACAGAAACCTAACCCCGCCGTCCCTCCACCGCTGAGCAGTAGCCCACTCTATAGCCGAGGTGAGTTTTTCTCCTTGGATTTATATTTTTTTCTCTTCTGTATTTGTGGAATTGGGTTTTAAAGATGGTAAAGAATAGATAAATTGAGAAGTAGTTGTTTTCAACACAAAAGTTTTCTTTATAAATTCTACTTAAGTGAGGAATAAAGTCTCCTTTAGGCATGGATTTATTGTAAATGCTCTCTTTAATTTGTAAATCTCTCTTTAAGGAAATAAATATGACCAATATCAGGAATGGGACAGCCTGGCTTGAACAGATATCTGGGAATAGTAGGCAGCTGAGTCAGTACTGAGCCGTCAAAGTATGTAGAGAACATTCTAAACCCAGAAACCTATATTTAATTGTTTCTAGTACGGTGTCTGGTACACAGCAGTTTGTCAGATGTTACCTAGACCTGAAGTTTACAGTTCTTCTTTTTTTCCCTGTTCTGGATTCATCTACCTCTTCTTTATCATTGAAGCTTAGTGGCTTGAAGCAAGCCTGGGTCATCTGTGAGTGGCAGAGGCAGCTAGTAAATGACAGAGAATGGGTGTTGCTAATTGATCAGAGCCAGGCAATGGAGAGCTGTTCTAAAATAAGTCTAACAGAGGTAATTAAGTGCAGGTGCCTGGAATCAGAAAGCAATAATTACTTCCTGGAACAATCAATGAGCTATCTGAGTCTCCTGTCTCCTCATTATTGCAAACAAGATCCCCACTTCCCTGATCACCTAGTGATAACCTTGAATCATCTTTGTCTTCATGAGAGCTTTTCTGGCCAGAGGATTAGAGAACTGTGGCCCTGTTTGAAGGATCATGTGGTCATCTAGTCCAGGCCCTGTTGTTTAAGTATGAAGCTTTGGACTCCCTCTGGATTTTCTTTGAAAGCCCCTTGTGACATTTATTGCATGTTGCCTTGTGTTCATCTTCCAGAACCTACTGAATGTTAACCTTTTTGAGTGCCAAGACTATTTCTGTTCAACTTTTTGTCCTCTGCAATGGAAACCACATGCTTGGCATACAATAATATGCAACAATATGGGTCAATAAATATATGAATTTGGGCCTGGCACGGTGACTCATGCCTGTTATCCCAGCACTTTGGGAGGCTGAGGCAGGCGGATCCCATAGATGGGGTCAGGAGTTCCTAACCAACCTGGCCAACCATGGTGAAACACTGTCTCTATCAAAAATACAAAAATTAGCCAGGTGTGGTGGTGCATGTGTGTAATCCCAGCTACTTGGGAGGCTGAGAAAGGAGAATTCCTTGAACCCAGGAGGTGGAGGTTGTAGTGAGCCAAGATTGTGCCACTGCTCTCCAACCTGGGTAACAGAGCAGGACTCCATTTCAATCAATCAATAAAAACGAATGAATGAATTTGGCTAGGCATAATCCTAGTACGTTGGGAGGCTGAGGCAGGAGGATCCCTTGAGCCCAAGAGTTCAAGACCAGTCTAGGCAATTTAGGGAGACTGTGTCTCTAAAAAAAAGGAAAAGAAATAATAAATACATGAATTCATCTATTCACTCATTCATTCAACAGTGTCTTTGAAGCACTTACTCTGCATGGTTGGGGAGAGGATTTATAGCCCCCTCAGGGAAAATAGCATTAGTCAAACTAGTAAATATAATTACATGTTGTGAGACTGAGGGAGAAGTCATGGGGCTGTCAGAACATTTAATATGGGGCTCTATCTAATCTGATGGGTCATGGACAGCTTCCTAGAGAAGGTAAGGTTTGAGCTTAGGCCCAAAGTATGTGTAGAAGTTATTAGGAGCAGCAGGTTGGGAATGAAGAGCAGAAGTAGAAGGGAAGAGCATGCCAGGCAGAGGTCAGTTTGTGCAAAGGCTCTGTGGCATAAAGCATTGGGATACTTTCTGGATGCCAAAAAGAAGGCTGATGTAAGGGAGCACAGGGAGGGAGCCAGAGGTATGGCCAGAGATGTCAGGAGACCCAGGTCTATCTGAAGGGTTTTGTTCTTTATCCCAAGAGTAATGGGATGAATTCACCTTTCATTTCACTGGTGCCTTCCAGGCTGCCCACCTGTTGTTCTCTGGAATAGCTTGAGGATATCCTTCTGTGGTCTGAGTTACTCTGTGTCCGGTTCTGTTCCTGGCTAATCCATGAGCCTCATGTGATGGTTAGTTGGGCAAGGCTACTTGCCTGACTGTATCCTTTCTGGTTATCTTTTTTGCTGTGATAAATTTAATCTCTCTAATTTCTATAGTAACAGAAAGGGTACCATTATTATCCTAATTACTAGAGAAGTTGCCATCGCAACCAGGCCTGTGCTGCTTACTCATCCGAGATGTATTGAATACCAAGTGTGAGCCAGGCCCTGTACCAGCAGGGAATAGAACAGCGTTAGCCCTCCCCTCAGAGTCTACGACAGAGTCAGATGCTAAACTTATAAACTGCAAGTATATATTTGATCACAGATTGTGAAGAATAAATACCATCCAGGATAAACACAGGAATAACTGGGGTGCACATAATTTAGAATGGGGATGTCAGGTTCAATGTCAGATGCTCATGAACCTTTTCCCGTGACATTGTCTTTCCAGCAGCCAGCAGAGTGTTTGCTGCGTGAATGAAGGAATGTTTGGATGAGGGCATGTCTTCTTTCTTGCTGTAGAAAGTGAGATTTGGGGCTGGGCGCCGTGGCTCACACCTGTAATCCCAGCGCTTTGGGAGGCCGACGTGGGCAGATCTCAAGGTCAAGAGATCAAGATCATCCTGGCCAACATGGTGAAACCCCATCTTTACTAAAAATACAAAAAAATTAGCTGGGAGTGGTGGCACGCCCCTGTAGTCCCAGCTACTGGGGAGGCTGAGGTGGGAGAATCACTTGAACCCAGGAAGCAGAGGTTGCACTGAGCCGAGATCACACCACTGCACCCCTCCAGCTTGGTGACAGAGCGAGACTCTCAAAACAAAAAAGGGAAAGTGAGATTTGATGCCCAAGATCACACAAGCTGGCAAGTGAAAGTGCTGGGGTCCCCTGAGTAGCTTCTGTTTTATTTGCAGCTGGCCTGCTGCTCCCCTGGCACTATCTTGGAAATTTCCACATTCACAGTGAATATTCTTTCAGCCTCTGCCATCCTCTCTCCTCTTGACCACTCCCATGCTGCCTGTTGCTGTGTGACTGTCTCAGAGCTGAATGAGAGTGTTACCGGTGGAGGGTGTCCAGGTTTTTGGCACCTTGAACAGAGAATTGAATAAAACGCACAAACAAAGCAAGGAAAGAAGGAAGCAACAAAAGTAGAGATTTATTGAAAATGAAAGTATACTCCACAGTGTGGGAGCTGGCTGGAGCATAGGAGCTCAAGGGCCCCTTTACAGAATTTTCTGGGGTTTAAATACCCTCTAGAGGTTTCCCATTGGTTATTGGTGTACACCCTATGTAAATGAAGTAGTGGCCCACAGTCTGATTGGGGAAAGCAACCCATCAAAGGCTGAAGTGAAGTTACACAATTACACGCCTATG